GGAAAAAAAAAAAAAAAAAAAAAAAAAAAAAAAAAAAAAAAAGGCGTTGCTTGCTACCTTGGCTATAATGTAGATGATCAATTACATCACTGTTGTTAAGTACACTGTCAAAGTGTAAATTTACAAAGTGCAGTTGAGCACCTTTTCGTGTATTCATGTTTCTTTTTCTGTGGAAGTACAGTTCACATACTTTGCCTATTTTTCTCTTAGATTTTCTATTAAGAAGTTCTTTAGAACCCCTTACATATTAAAGAAATTAGCCCTTGGGCTGTTGTGTATTAAAGTGTTTTTTTCTCAGGCGGTCCTTTTACTACACACCAATTTTTCTTACAGTCACATTTCCCAGTCTTTTCCTTTTATGACTTCATGTTTTGTGTCTTGATTGGAAAGGCTTTGCCACTCCAAGATTCTCAAAAAACCCCCTGCTTTCTATCTAGTGATTTTATGATTTATTTTACATCGAAATCCTGGAACCACTGGAATATAGGTGTAGGGAAGGAGGCAGACATCCAGCTCTGTTTTTTTCTTGTTTGTTTTTGTTGTTTTTGGGGTTTTTTTTGGTGGCTGGCTGGTACTGGGATCTGAACACTTGACCTCGGTGTTACCAACACCATGCTTTAACCAAGTGAGCTAATTGGTCAGCCCCCTTTAAAGATGCACAGGCAGCAGCAGTCCCAACACCATTACCGAATAACTCATCATTTTCCCACTGATTTATTTGAAGCCTCATCTTTACAATGTACAAAATTCCATTCATATCTATCTCTCCTTTTAGGTGTTGCATTCTGTTCCACTGATCTGCCTTTCTATCCACATGCCATACAACACTATTTTAACATCTGCTAGGAACAATACACATTATTATTAGCCTTTCTCAGGATTTCCCTAGCTATTCTTGCATATCCCTTTTTTTTTTTTTTTTTTTTCCCCTCCCCCAGTGACTGGCTGGTATGGGGATCCAAACCCTTGACCTTGGTGTTATTAGCATCACGCTCTAACCAAGTGAGCTAACCAGCCAGTCCTTATTTTTCATATAAACTTCAGAATCAAGTTTTCTAGTCCTGAAATAAATTCTATTGGTGTTTTTATTTCCTTTGTCTCTAATATTTCTTCAGTTTTCTCATGAGTAATCCAGGTATACAATCATATCTGCAAATACCGATAACTTGACTTCCTCTTTCTTCTTATTATACTTATTTCTTTCTCTTGACTGCTTGTATTAGCTAGTAATTCCAGAATAATGTTAATGATGACACTGGCAACCATACCTTCCTCTTGACTTTAAGGGGAACAGTTCTAGATGCCTCATTAAGCTGGCTGCTGGCTTTGGACTTCAGATGAGTACAAGGGATCTTCAAAAAGTTCATGGAATGACTTGTATTATCTTTTAATTCCATTTTTCTGTGGACTTTTAGAAGTACCCTCGTATTTTTATCATGCTAAGTGGGTTTTCAAAATTTCTACTTTATTGGCAGCTTGGTTTTTAAATCTGAATGGATGTTGAATTCTACTTAATGCCTTTTTGGAATCTCTGGAGATGATTATGTGATTTTTCTCCTTTAGTCTATTAATAGGGTAAATAATAATAAAAAATATACTAAAGTTGACTAATCTTTGCACTGCACTACGACATCATTTTTCACATTTTAGAATGGCAAAGAAAAGATTTTTGATAATACTATATCAGTCAAGACATAGCCAGGGAAGAGCCATTCTTATATATTGTTGGCGGAAGCATAAACTGGTGTAATCTCATTGGAGGAAAATTTGGCAAAATTTACCAAAATTTTAAATGCTCATAAACATGTTATTCACTGCAGCATTGTTTATAATAGCAAAAATTTGGAAACAATCCACGTGTTCATCAATGAATGCTGGTTAAATAGTGATAAACTTGTACACTATAACACTACGCTTTGCAGCTGTATTAAAAGAATATAGAAGAAAGAGGAAAAAAAAACAATGTAGGGTGATATGGAAAGCTCTCTAAGATAATAGTGTTACATGTAAAAAGCAAGCTATACATCAATGTATGTATGTACTACTTTTTTTTTTTTTATTTGGCAGCTGGCTGTATGGGGATCCAAACCATTGAGCATATATGTACTTCTACTGAACAGTCTGTTACCTACATACAAAAAATTTAAAACTTTAGAAAAATGCACATAACTGATGGCCCAGAAATTCCACTCCTAAAAATTATACTACAGACAATTTTGTACATGTAAGCAAAGATATGTAGTACAAAGATATTCACTGCAGGAGTGTTTCTAATAGCAAGACCAAAAGCAGCCTAAATGTCCTTGGAAGTTGGTTAAACAAATTATGCCAAGTAGGGGCTTCAAAGGTAATGGCAACATTCTGTTTCTTAAACTGAATGGTGGTACATGGGTATCCATTTTAGAAAAGGCTTTTTTATCTCTTATTTAATAAACTATTTTAAAATTATAAGCATCTATTCAATGAAATATTATGTAGCTGTGCATTATCTAGGAGATCTATATATACTGATTTATAATGATCTCTTAGAAACATTGGTAAGTAAAGGAGTCAAGGTGTAGAACAGATGATATGATATATGCTTATTTTTGTTTAAAAAAACAAAAAGAAATGAAAATATGCTAGTTATGCATAGAAATTCCTAGGAGGACTCAAGAAACTGATAATAGTATATGGTTCTGGGGAAAGGAAGCTAGAAATCTGGGATAGAAATGAGACTTTTTATTCTATACTTTTTCTTTTTTTTTTTCTCGCGGCCGGCCGATAAGGGGATCTGAACCTGTGACCTTGATGGTACCAGCATTATATTCTCCCAAGGTTGCTAACCAGCCATCCCACTATATACATTTTTTAAAAGTTTGAATGATTTTTCTATTATATATATGAGAATATTCCTTTAAAAATTAGTTAAAAAATTGAATGGAAACATGTCCACTGGATGAGTGACTATTCTCAAGATGGCTGATCTAATTAATGTCTTCTAAGAGGCTGTGGAGACTGGGGTGCACTTGTTTCCCTCAACCGGCTCCTCCTGTCATTCACAGATAATGCACATCCTTTCTTTCCTGGGTTACCCCCACCCCCTCAACAGGGCTGTAGCCAGGGCTGGGATGCTCACTTGGGCTCGTGAGGAGGTCCGGACTGATCAATCAACTTGAATTCAGCAGCAAAGCCATGGGAGCGGGCATACTCTAATAGGCCGCCCACAGGGTTGGTGTTCAGGTATCTGACGAGCTCGTCAATCCTCCTGACGTTGCTGGGCATCCCAGATTCCAAGTTATCAAGTGATTCCATGTTCGTATCTCCTGGCTAAAGGAGAATTAGCCAAACAAAGAGGAACCATAAATATTCAGTAAACAGAGGGACTCACAGGCAATCCTAAACCACTCAGTTGCTAAAAATGACCTGTATCTTTTAGAAGGAAAATGGCCCTACCTGGTTATCAGAAGATGTTGCCTCCTCTTGCAGGGCCTTCATGGCTTCCTCTGCTGCCATCTGCTTTGCTACTTTCTTGCTGGGGGCACTTGCAGTGGGGAAAGTTTGGGCTCCCACTGCAACACAGTATTGGTACCTGATGGGAGATGGAGTAGAAGAATTAAAATGGTTTTGATTGATATTTTCCTAGCTTGTGTAAGGCTGTCATCCTTTACTACTTGTAGTTTCCTTGTACACATCACCTTTGTGTAGTCACTTCTCTGCTTTGAGTAGCCAGTGCCCTTCACCCACCTCCTGTCCCCAGTGTCTCTTAGTCTGGCTGTTCCCTTTCAACACAAGTGTCAACATAGTTTTACCTCCTCTAGGATCCCCTCTCTTGAACATGTAAGTCCACACTCAAGCAGAGAGCTTCTCAGGTATGCCCAGGTCCTATATCTTTTTGTCCCACCAAGAGTAACCTCCAAGTCCTATACCTCCGTATAGGATTCTCTGCTTCATAAATGGCACTGTGCCCTCAAGGGCCCCTTTTTCCCATATTGAAACAGGACCAATTGCTCAGTGAAATAATCTTCTATCTCTGAGGAGGCAAGGAGGAAAATGTATCTCTTTCTTTTTGAGAAAACCTTAGCAGAGATACACGATACATGGGACATACTTGGGTTCATGGGCAGGGCCTTCTTTGGACAGGAGACGGAATTCACAGGAGCTCCCCAGTTTGTGCACACATTCAAGCAGTGTAGTGACAGGGCTCTTCCCAGAAAATAAGGATGTTGCTGAATGGGTGGTGGGCTGGGACTCTGCAGTCTGGAGAAAATAAGAGACAAGAAGAAAAAATAAAAAAAACTAAGAAAACTCTGGTTAGTTCATCACAGCAAAAGAAATGGGATGAGAAAATTTCTTTTGGCCAACTAAATATTAGGGGCTGGCTTGCCAAAAGAAAAAAGGATGTGGGGGATTTTCTAGGCATCATAGGAAAGAATAAGTTATTTAAATGTTCTGGGTCTCATTTCTTTTTTTTTTTTTTGACCAGTAAGGGGTTCGCAACCCTCAGCATGGTGTTGTCCGCACCACGCTCAGCCAGTGAGCGCACCGGCCATCCCCATACAGGATCTGAACCCGCAGCCTCAGCGCTCCCAGCGCCGCACTCTCCCAAGTGAGCCATGGGGCCGGCCCTGGGTCTCATTTCTTATCTTCCAAGAGAGGAGACTGAGGTTGATAATCTTCAAGATCTGTTTCAACTCTGAAATTCTGTAAATCTAGTTAGGGTCGTGGGGAGGCAAAAGGGGAGCAGGGTATGAAAGGAGGAAAAGTGGGCTGGGCAGAGGGGTAGAAGGAAGAGTGGGAGCCCGAGATACTGTTAGTTGTTTAGGCCAGGATTGAATCAAAAGTGTCAGTTAAAATCCTGATAATCCACAGTCACTGAAGGTGAACTGATATCCTCCCAAGGGCAGGACACCTACCTTCTCTGATTCTTTCTCCGTGGAACAGCAGGATGATTCTTCGGATTTCCCACTGTCCTTGGCTTTGGCTTCCTCAAGCAGGATTGTCATGGCTTTCATAGCTGCATCCTGCTTGGCCACTTTCTTGCTGCCAGCTTCAGCTGGGGGAAACTCTCGGCCACTGATAACGACCTGGAATTTAAATCTTAACGGAAAGTGATTATATGTGTGAACACTAGCTCACTACATCTAGTGAACTAGGCCACCTCTTCTGCCCTCTCCAAAGAGATCATCACTCTGGAATTTTTTGTTTGTGGAGGAGACAGAGGGTAGGCCAAGGAACTCTTATCCCTTTGGAGGCTCAGCCTGTCCCTTCTTTTTGGAAACAAAGCAGCCAGTGACTTTCTCTTCATAGCTCCATGGAGGAAACATGGCCACAGGAGATAGGAAACTAGCTCAGGGAAACTCACTATCTCTTAACAGTGAATTAAGAAAAAGTCTGTACAAAAAAATGATCAGCTAAAATCACCATTACAGTCTTGTTAGCAAGCAAAATGCCTTCCCCCTAAAGCAACTGTGGTAGTCTAGCCTCCTCAAAGGAAGGTCCTAAAAGACAGTGAAGGTTTCTTACAGCCCAGTCACACACTCTGCAGACACCTACAGGGATCAGACACCTACCCCTTATCTGGGGCCTGTTTTTGTCTCTAACCTACCCTTAGAGATAGCATCATTCCTACATTTTGAGTCATTCTATAGCTCTATTTGTCCCAAGCCTGAGATGAAAGGAATTTCCCCTTGTTATGCTGAAAACCAAAAAGCATTTGTTCTTGGCCTCTGGACTTAGCCTAGGCCTCCTTTGTTCCAAACTTCAAATTTGTTCAGCTCTTTGCTCAATCTGAGATTTTATTTAGAAAAGTAAGTCAAACTTCTTATTTCCTTCTGAAATACCTGAAGATGGCACCAATGTTTCTCATAGCTGGAATCGAAAGAATGACTAGCCACAAATCCCGCTACTTTCCCCCAACTTGGGGGGGGGGGCGCGGGATGGGGGGAAAGAACGAGAATGACCACTGTCTAGTCTCTACACAAACAGAAACAAACCCACTTTTTGCCCTGCCAGTTTTCAGACAAACACACCCTTTTCTTAACAGCTCTTCTGCAATGCCAACAGGGTGTCATTAAAATGGTCAAGATAAGGAATAAGGGTCACGGCCAAGAATCCCTTGCCCCTAGAAACCAGCACAGGTAAATATAACAGTTAGAGGAATTCTCCCCCATCATCACTGGCTCTCTTTTTAGCTGCAACTTGCAGCCACTCTGTTTCAGTTCTCTGCTAGGCCTTTCAGCTGCTCCTTTCTGGGTCACCTGTCTTCTCAATCTGTCCACTGGCCTGCAGGACCCTGAAGAGAAGGGACTGGCCAGCTATCTGAGTGAGGTAATCTCTGATTTGACAGCTCAGGAGCAGCAAGTGCTAGCCCACCCATCTGTGCAGAGGAGGTATGTAAAATTAGAACCTCCACCTTCAATAGGCAGGCAGGCAGGCAGCCATGCAGCTCTACACCATTCTTTCCCTCCAGGAGCTGAGCAGAGGGGGGATTTAGGCCTGTTGCTACTTAGCAGCACAACCCACCCTCATTCTGTGTGTGCAGCCTGTCCCAGCCACCTGTTCCTGTACCTCCCTTGAGAACTTAGCGTGAGGAGGGGGATGGCACACAGAAGGTAGTGGGAAGCGAGTGAAGTCTTCACTACCTCTGGCCTTAGGAGGCAGGCACAACATTGATGCATGAAAGCCAATCATTTGTAAGGAAGTTTCATTTTAGCCAAGGGTCACCTCTCCCCACTCCCACTCAGCCAAGATTCTGGCTGGTCATACTTGACATCCGAAGAATGGCCCAATCAAGGGTGATTTAGCCAAAAGGCAGAAAGGAAGAGGGAAAAGAGAGGAGCTACCAAACGGTATTGCTCACAAGTCAGCTGAGACTGCATCAGGAGCAAGAGCACCTGACCCCAGCCCTAGGTACAATGCCTGGGTGGTCTCTTACCGAGGTTCATGGGGTGGTCCACTCTGCTCCATCAGTTTGAACTCACAGGTCTGACTAGCGAACTGAGCATACTCTAACAGCCCGCTGACGGGGTTCTTCAGCTGGCACTCTGTCAGTTTCTTGTAGGGTGAACACCGTGGCAAGCCATGACTGTAGAAGGAGGGCATCTCCATGATGGCTCGAAACTCACCTGGTGGTGCGTGGATACTATTCAAGTCATCTGGGATGTCATCTGTGGCCCATTGGCCATTTTCAAAGTCAACATACCCTGCTTTTGAAGGGCCATTGTGATAAACAGGTGGCTTCAGTTTTATTGGTTCTGGTCTGGCCTCTTGCCTACCTTCTAACTTTATGACAGGTTCCTGCCCATTCTCCACTTTTACTGTGGTTACATTATTTGAGGCTGATGTGGGTAAGTTAGAGGTGGGGAGCTCTGTGTTTCTTCTGGTCTCAGGGATAGCAGCTGGAGTGGTTTCGGTGATACTATTCACATTCCTTTTGATTTGCATCCTCTCTCGCTTCTTGTCTGTCAAATACCATATGGGAGGGGTTGTCCCTTGCCTGTAGACATCCCCCTGCCTCTCCAAGTCAATTAGCACAGAATTTACATCTCGGGCCTTGCTGAGGCCAATATTTTTAGCCACGTTCAGAGCAGAGGAGTCAGACACATTAAACAAGTAGTCGCAGATTTTTTCCTTGATCTCAGCCATGTTGAAAGGCTCAGGGGGATCTTCTGAGCCAGATGTGTCACTTTTGTCTTCAGTTTCCCAAGTGGGGTCTGAGTTTGGGGCTCCCTGGCTATGACTGACTGGTTTCACTACTCTGCTGTGCTGGTTCCAGGCCTGAACTGAGACCACAATTCTCCACAAAGGGGGTGTTCCTGCCTCCCGATGTAGCTTACCCTTCTTTGCCAGAGAGTATAAAACTTGATTGATTTCCTTCTTTGGGGCCCCAAGCTTCCTGGCCAGATCATGTGCTGTGGTGGCCTTTCCTTCTCCAAGCTTCTCCAAGAGCTCTAAGATCCTTTGTTCCTGATCCTGGCTGATGTTCAGTTCCTGGAAATGTGAGGAAAGCCTATCGACACCTCTCCACGGCAGAATCCTGCCTCGCGGTGAAGGATGCTGGAACCCTCTCTGGAACCCCTGACTTCTGAGAGGCACGTCCCTGCTGACACCCTGGATCTCCAGTTGCCTGCCTATGGTAGGTGGTTCTGGAAGTCTTGGCCAAAATCCTGTGAGGAACGGTGGCAGTGATGATGTCTGCGTTCTGGTCAGGGGTACTTCTGGGAGACGTCCCTTGAGAAACTCTATTTGCTTGAGCTGGAAACTATTAGGGTAAGATCTAGGCCCCAGCTGCTGGTGTCTCAGCTTGCTGTGCTTATAGCCTTGAAATGGATGGGGGTGGTATCTGTTGAGAGAACACTCCTACAAAACAAGAGAAAAGAAAGTGAATTAGGGCTGTGGCGGTGAGCCTGTGGCGTCCCTATCCCCTCCATGCCCTGCGGAGCTGCCCCTAACTTCTAATACGCTAAGGTGACTGAGCCATGCGCTTGTGACCTGGCTAGGGTGACTTGCCCACCTTGTACATGGCCCAACAAGGAGAAAACAGAGAGGAGGCCAGGAGGCAAAACACAGAGCTGCCAGGAGCACACAGAGGCCCTGATAACCTCAGCACAGCCTCTCCAGCAACCTAACTTATTCTTTGCCCTTCGACAGAATTTTAGAGAGTTGAAAAGGAAACTTTCCATTCCCCCCAAAAAAGCCACCCTTTTAAAATCTGGAAAACAAATAAATGTCATTTTGTTTTGAAAACAAAAAAAGAACAATAACTTGATAATGCCAAGGGTTAGAGGACTAGGGAATGGATGAGACCACCCCTCCTTTGAGATAGGCCCAACACCCCAGAGCCCCTCATCTCTAAAATCTATGATTTGGATGACCATGACAAAAAAAAAGAGAAATTTAAGTTGATTGGATGAAACTGAACCCCAGTCCTCCAAGGTTGTAACAGGAATGATCTCCACATGGGGAAATGGGGGAGGGTCGCAGGACCTCAGGCTTTCATCTGCTTGCCACTGCTATCCTGGGGGGAGGATCAGAATTTGGTTTTAGGAGAGCTGGAGGGTTTCCTTATAAAAATGGCACATTATCCTCACCCTTCAGTGTGGTACCCAGGCTCCCCTAGATGCGTGCAGCAAGCAGGATCCACTCGTCACCACCTCAGCCCAGTCTGCCTACCTTCTCTAGCCACATCCCAGCAGCGCTTCCACTGTACGTGCTCTGAACCCCACTGTACAGGGCATAAGCAACCCCATATTTTCGTGTGTTGCTGTACATTTACCAGAACACTGAGCACCCGTGACTCCCCCCCCAACCAACCAGTGCTCATCTTCTCCCCTTCATCCTCCAGTGCCCTTCACTGGAGGGTGGAGGAGGCAGGAGGTACTCATGGGACTGGGGGTGGGGGTGTCGCTGAACACATTGCTTCCTTTCCCAGGGCTTGCAGACTTGTGGGGGAGCATTATCCAGCAACGTTTCCTCATGCTTACGTCCTCTCCCCCCCAATTCTCCTGAAGGCTACACAGGCAGCTATGTCCCTTTCTTCAATAACTTCAGCCTTCTACTCCCCACATCCCTGCCACACTTAGGGCATTTCAGCATTCTTGCTAACCACTCTCATGGCATTCCTGCTATGGGGTTTCTTAATGTCTATCCCAGTGACCTCCATTGCCACCTTTCAGCCACATGATTGGCTCATCCAACCACTCCTTCCATCTCACTACTACCCTAATCTGGGCCACCACCAAAACCTCAAACCCTGGAACTCTTCCAGCAGCTTGTAAACTTTTTCCGTAAAGAGCCAGCGAGCTCTGCTATTGTGGTGCAAAAGCAGCCACACACAACATGTACAACTTTACTTACACTTTATTTCCCATGAAACTTTATTTACAAAAACAGGTGGAGGGCTGGATTTGGCCTGTGGGCCGTAGTTTGCTGGCTCCTGCTCTCTTCCAATGGCAACTTCCCTGTGTTTCCACAACTTCCACTCCTTGCTCTGGCGGAACCTGCTCCTCACATGACCCCACGGCGGCTGCTGGTCAGCCACTCCCGCTTCTTCCCCATTCTGGCTTCACACATTCCCTCACCCTGTCTGGATCTCATGGTCAGTTCCCATCTCCACCCAAGGCCCATTGTCCCCTTTTTCTTCTCTAAAGCTTCCAAATGACACTGGAGAAGGGCACTGACTTATGCTAACAGGGCCCATATAATTCCCCTCTCTTGAACCTCAGTTGGGTCTTCGCTGCTTGGTGGTCAATTCAGTTCAACAAACATGCATTGGCCCACTGTGGATTGAGCTCCTTTCTTTAAAAATTCTCCTCCGAGGGCTTGGTGACACAGCACCTAAGGTCTCCTTTCACCTCTCTTTTTTCCTTCTGTCTGTTTCTGTCCCTTTCTTCCACTCTTATATGAGGGTACTTCAAAAAATTCATGGGAAAATTCATATTATCTTTTAATTCTATTTTTCCACAAACTTTTTGAAGCACGCTCTCACTTAATCAGACCCCATGGTTTTGTCTAATGACCTCATCTTCCTTTATAATTTGTTCCCTGGGTTGATTTCATCTACTCCCCTGACTTTAGCTAAACCTCTTAAACAGCAGCACTCAAATCTACCATCTCCAGCTACCACCTTGTGCTGAGGCTTAAGATCTGAATTTCCAACTACATAGACAATTTGCCTGCTTAGATATCCTGCTATTACCTCAAACACCACATACTTCAGACCAAATTAATCTCAAACCCAGCTCCTTCTCCTGCTTTTCTTATTACTGTTAATGGCATCATTCTCCTCATAAGTTATTAATGGCTAGAAACCTGAGTCATTTTTGCTGCCTGCCTACCTGCCTGCCTACCTGCCTGCCTTCCTCCCTCCCTCGTCTCCTACATCTAATCAGGAGTTGCCAAGTCCTGTCTTGTCTACCACCTCTGTATTTTCTCTTAAATGTGTCTTTTTCAGTTCTAGCCCCTCATTACTTCTCACCTGGGCTACGGCAAGAGCCTCTAATCTTTTCATCCTTCCACATGCCAATCCATCACAGAAGCTTCTCCCTCTACCGCCACCTATCACAGCTCTGACCGTTTCCTTATAGATCTGCTTAAATGCCACTTTCTTCAGGAGACTTCTGACTCCCACCTCCCCCAGCCCACAGTTTCCTCACCTTGAACTCCTTCCACTCAGCACCTGTTACACCATTTGCTCTACCTTTTATCACAGCTACTGGATTTTTAAAATAATGCTACACATATACTGCAGTGTATCTGAAAGGTAATTAACAATATTAGATACCCTAGAAATTATACTCAGCTCTCCACTCCCAACACTCTCAGCCTAGTACTGATGGGGGGGCTGCAGCTGACTCCACGATGAGCTCCCAGGGAACAAGGACTATGCTTTAATCATCTTTGCCTCCCCAGCACCTGGACCAACATCTGTTGAATTAACAACTGCATGAACAAGACACCCCTATACAGGTAATCACTTCTCTTTCCTGCTCCTCTTGGTGCACCCCCCCCCCCCCCCCCC